TTATCGTTGTTACATAATTTAGATAGTGAGGATTGCTGTAGAGGATATCAATAGAGGTTATTGTTCTTACAGAACTATACAGTGTGGATCAAAGGAGGTTATCGTTGTTCAAAGTGTAAGTAATAAATTTTTTTGCTTTTCAGAATATATATATATATATATATCCCTTTTTCAGCAAAATATATTGAACAGGCTAGATTATTAGATACGAAAAAAATATAAAGTTTAAACATTTTATAAATAATAATTAAAATACAGAATAAAAGGATGAAATAAATTAAAATACAACCAAATAAATAAGAAAGAACAGGATAATGCAACAATTGTAAGAATATTATACAAGTATTCAGAACAAGCTTAACTATAGTGAAGTTGTGGTACTATTTAAAGTCAGGGAGTTCATTTATAATAGATAAACTTTCTTTAATTAATAGTTCAATATTGGATGATCCAGATGAGATTATTTTGAAGTCTGTAATCAAGATGGGGTGGTTGTTGTCCTCACTCTCTGTGAATTATGGAGTGTGGAGGATTTGATAGTTTTTTACCAGCTCTGCTTGATACTCCCATATGTGTAATTATATACGATCCTGGAACGCATAGGGATAGGTAATAGGTCTTTAGATATGAATAGATTTTGTATTTTGAAAGGTGATATAAATATCACGTGTAGTTAAACTTGTGAATAAAACGTTTTAATTCTTCTTAAAATTTGTGACTTCACTGTGAAACTTTGCTTACCTAAAAAAAAAGGAACGATCAGTCTTAATGGGTATTTATCAACAGTGTGTGGCTTCTTTGGGAGTTCAAATGTATGAGAAAGGAACTTCCGTGTTAGGGTTTGAATAAAATGCAAGGGATAGCCGTTGTTTATTAAAATGTTCTGTAAAGTGGTGATTCCGGTATGAAGAGAGAGGTAGTTTGAACAGATGTTATATGTTCTAATGAGAAGACTGAGTATGAGGTTACGTTTAAAGGAATTAGCAATAAAACTGTCAATCAAGTATGTAAGCCTGTATATGTTATTGTTTTCTAAACAATAAACAGATGTTGTGAAATGGTTATCTAATCTGCCTTTTCTTGATATCCATTGACAAAAATATACGCCAATTACATCTGCGAGCCTGCGAACATGTGGGAGTATCAAGCATCAGACGAGTGCTTGATCATCTGAACCAGACTTAACCCTCTCTCGCTGGCTAGTAAGGAACTTTTAACAATTTAATTACTGCATTTTTCCACTCTCATAAACAAGATTCGTCCTTGGGCTTAATTTAGAGATCGTTGGGACGACTCAAAGTTGTGTACCAATGTGGTATCTTCGTTGTTTCGGGATATATTTTCTTGGCTATGATTTGAAACCAAGAACTTGTCACACGCCAAGCGAGTGTTCTACCAACTGAACTAACCTGTTAACCCCCTAGCGCTGGATAATAAGGCAATTTAATAAGTCAGACTATTACAAAATCTAGATATTGTGTTCTATGAACTACATATTAATATTCGTCAAGTTGCTATTATTGTACTGTTTACATTTTGATTATCATTGGCGGATTTTCTTGTTTTATACAAAGTTGTGTATGTTATATTTAAACAACTTTGAATATACAAATCAGCCAATCACATGAAAACAGCATCTGCTATAAAGTCGCAGTGGAACAGCGTATATCAGATCTGCATTTTGGCATTGTTTGGCATTTTGTGTGTTAGTAGTGTGATGCCAACAAAAAGTGTATTGCTTTTGTAATGGGTTTGTAACAGCCGTTTCCGACGCAAAATGCCCCCCAATAGCATAGCAGCATGTCTGTGGACTTACAATGCTAGAATACGGCTTTCGATACCCGTGGTGGGCAGAGAACAGATAGCCCATTGTGTAGCTTTGGGCTTAACTACAAACAAACAAACCGACGCAAAATATTCGCACACCCACATAATAAAGATGTGTTGAGATCAGCGATATAAAATTTCCAAAATGACGGTATCCATTCTACTTAATGACAATGGAAAAGAAAGGAATATGTATCAACTTAGGGTATCAGTACTATCCAGAAAGTGATCTGCTACAAGTCATACCACAGCTGTGATACACAAAATGTAGCGTCTTGTAACGGGTGAGAATCCACAAACACAAAGGTCAGCGGAAACAGTTGATCACATGCTCCAGGCAAGATCACGCAACATACTAAAAAAAAAATCCCAACTGAAAACGAGGCTATACTCTAGTATTAAGAGACATGCGCTGTATGAGTATAACGAACAATTTATAATGCTTGCTAGAGACAACAATAAAAGAGAATATATTAATGAACAGACCCAAACTTTAAATAAATGAGCAGTGTAAAACTCTTATTTATTATTGCAAATATATTGTGGTTGATATATTATTACATTCTTCTTTACTTTCACTAATAAGTTCTTATAAATACAGTAAGCACTTGCTTATAATAATACAAGAAATATATAATATTTATGGTTTCTTAACCGGTTCAGTATTGTTAAGTATATTTTTTGCTTTCCTTAGACAATCACTATGACCAGAAAGGAGGTTCTTGGCCTCTTGGTTCTGTTCATCGTATACGTATTGATAGGTGGAGCTGTTTTCATGGCTCTTGAAGCTCCTTTGGAGGAGAAGATGAGAGTGCAATTAAAAGATACCCGTAAAAAGTGGGAAGGTAGGAACATGTTAAAATCTCTACTTTTTTGTCGCAGTGATTGGATTATTAAGGTTTGATTATCATGGTTAAATGTATGTTGGCCTTTAAAAAACGATTTTACAAGGATGTTAATTGCGAAATGATTCACATTAGGTTAAGATGTTTATGAAATAGTTTAATACCTTGTAAGTTTTAGGATATTTGATATTGTACATGGATACATTGCTGTAAACAAAATTCAAGTAGGATTACAAAAAGATCTTACTTTAAATCTATTCAAAACTTATTTTATTCTTATGTCTTCAGTACAGTACCCAAGAAGTAATTTATTAGATTTTAACCAGAACTGTAAGCCTTTTCTCCAGGGCTCATAGAAAGGTTTACTCTCACTACAGAGACTCTGATTGTAATACACTCACTCTCATGAAGCCATATGGAGCTTATAAACAGCGGATTTTTAGTAACTTTCCTTACTTGTAACACTAAAGTTCTACAAATCATTATGAATTGTATTTTCTAGTATTAATGCAAATTGTAAATTATTTGGGAGTTGCATAGTTATCCCACAAAGAAGAAATATGAATAACTATAACCCTTTCTCTTAATTGAAATTCGTTGAAATACTAAACTTAATTATTATGTTTTCTTCTTTTTTTTTGGTACTCGATGCGACAGTGGTAAGTATATTAACTCACAACTCAAAAATACGGTGTTCAATTCCCCGAGGTAGACACAGCAGATAGCTCAGTGTTGCTATAAAACAAACAGAAACAACTTTTTGTCAGTATGTTTGTTTGTTCACTATACCGAAAACTCCGGATTCAATAAGTAATACTTTTTTTATTATTATAACATAAAGTAAGTTCGTCTTTCTTTCTTAGATCCATAATAGGGTATATGATTTATTAATTAATCTATAAATAAAAACAAATTATTACCAGGTCTTTCCGATATAAGTTCCTGATAATTTAGAAAACAGTATCAATAGTTTGTTGTCTTTGTTTGTTTGTTTTTGAGACAGATAGGCTTCTAGGAACGAATCATCCAAATTTCACTAAAGGAGACATGCAAAAACTTGTGCACCACCTAGCGGAAGCGAGGAGTAAAAACTTAATGGACGATTATGGTAACAATACCCACCTCAACTGGAGTTTCTACAATTCCTTTTTCTTTGCAATTACAGTCGTTACAACAATAGGTAAGTTAATCCTGAATGACGTCATTACGTATTTGGGAGTATAAAATACAGCATGCTTTTTTGTCTTTAAAGATACAAAAAGGTAGATTAGAATTATTTAAAATGCCTATAAATAGGCCTATTGAATCAGTTTGCATGTGTCCTGCCAACCCGATGAAGCCGTAATGGCGAAACGTTGACTTAAATATATATATATATATATTATCTTGAGTAATAGGTCTGATTTATTATCATTAGATGAAAAAATCTTTTTAGTCTCTACCACATTATTTAATATTTCAGAAAAGGTTTATTTAGTCTCTAACAATTGGACTAATGGTCCTTCGTCAGCAGATAGAAGGTATGAAGCAAACAACGTTATTAGGTTTCGGTCTGACACAGTACTTCGTTAGGTGTGAAAATATTTTGCACTACATCTTTCACACTGTAACGTTGTAGCTTTTATACATGGAGGCTTACAACACTAAAAATAGGGCTTTGATATCGTGATGGGCACAGATATCTCATTGTGTAATCACACACTCTTAGTTTGAAAGATTCAAACAATAAGAACTTGTGGTAAATAGCATTATAGCTACAACGTAACATTTAAAATTATTATTTAGTTTGAATTCAGTAAATGAATTACAACAGGGGTTAAGCCTAGCTGTTGTCAGAAATGACGCTGCATGTTATCCTCCACTCAGTGGCACAGCAGTAAGTCTGCGGATTTATAACGCTAAAAACCGGGTTTTGATACCCGTAGTAAACACAGCACAGGTAGCCCATTGTGTAGCTTTGCGCTTAACTAGATAAAACAAAACAAAACTTTACCACTTACAAATATATTTTTTTCGCTAGACGTTTCGTGCACGATGGTCTTCTTCAGGTGAGAATAGATGCTTAGTCAAACAGACCCAGCCAGTCCTTCATGATAAGTCAGATGTATCTAATCAGGAATTTAGGGGTGTCAAGCATCCAAAATGTCGTTCCATATATGTATTTTTGTGTATGTATAGTACAGTAAACCATATGTATAGTACGTGTAAAACAATATATATATAACATTAAATACAATATACGTCATGTGCTCACAATATGTGCAGTTAAAATATTATACAAAGGACAAGTGAAGAACTTGAAGTTGATCAACTTTCTTTCACTCGTTCTGATTCAACTGACAATACCATCAAGTCAATGAAACTTTGCTCTGGCATGGTGCTCCAGTGTTTGCTTTTCACAGGCTTCAATGTTGTTCAGTGTTGCTGTTGCAAAGTGCTGGTCAAATGTTTTCTCATTTTTTGTGCTTTGAAGTCCTAAAACTAACACTTAAACTTCAAATGTTATTATAACGGTATTCATACCATCTCCTTGCAGATACTTGGAAGCCATGTGGCATAATTTCAAAAGTTCATTCACAGTGAACAAGCAGATAAACGTTCACCCATAGTGACCAGGTAGAGAAAAGTTCACTAATAGTAACAAGGCAGAATTAAAAGTCTAAGGCTGTCAAGATTGTTGAAGTTTCACCAATAGTTTCATAATCAAAGTTACCATTGGCCAAAATAGATTTTACTGTATAATTCACAATACCTCTTGTGCTGACAAGTATTGTAAAATTTTCTTCTTGGTTTGACCAACATGTTGTGCTCAAGACTTCAGTGTCACTTCCTTTAGTTTGCAGTTGCTATTGAATGCTTATGAAGAGACCATATTTCAATTGAAGAAATAGTTTCTGGACTGTTTCAAAGGAATTTATTGTCGTTTTATTCTTCGTATGTGTCTACAATCACCAAATACAAACGGTATGCAAAACAGCGAACACAATATGCTTTTGGATCCAAATCTTGCACACGTGTCCCTAGTCCGGTATAATGACCAGACAAGGTAGAACAGTCATCATATCCTTGGTCACGTAGATTGTCAAATGAAAATCATGCTTTTAAAAAAGATTCTACAGTGGACTACACATTCATGTGGTCATTGTATCAAAGCACACCACCATATCCAGTAAACATTCATGTTGTCTTTGTATCAAAGCACACCACTATACCCAGTAAATATTCACGCTGTCTTTGTATTAAACCACACCACCATATCCAGTAAATATGAATGTTGTCATTGTATCAAAGCACACCACCATATCCAGTAAATATTCAAATGCTTCTCCATTTTCACTGACATTCCTAACAATAAAAGAAAGCTGTTCTTGTTTGTTCAGACAGGTGTTGTGTCTTGGCAGATGGAATGGTACTTTGCCCTTTTTAACGACTTCACAAACAATTTCAACCCGAGCACGAACTAGAGTATTCAGTTATGGGATTTAACTTTGGCTTTTTGTAGATGTTCAGCCATATTTGGATTCTAGCCTCAAAAAAACATTCCTCTATTATTTGATGTTTTTATTTTATTATAACCTCAGACAGGAAGGTTTAGACAGGACAAATTATTTGTAACATCCAGTAATAAATGTATAAACTATCATGTCAATATCATCTCTCTCTGCTGCTCCTCTTTAGCTCATAGCGATAGTTTTCTCTTGTATTACTTACTGAGTATTGTGTATAAAACAACAAATCTTGTTTTTTAAATTGTCCAAGCTTCCATACGTTTCGCACAATATTGGTTTTTGATATACTTGTCAAAACCTTTCTAAGCTTCCAGCACTTTGAGCCAAAATTTATAACTCTTTCATTGAAACGTCATATCGAAACGAATTTTGACACAAACCCCGGCATGGAAAACATAGTTTTAAAATAATTCAGTCAAGAACGTAAATAAGACTATTGAGGTTGAAAAGAAATATATTATTACTACTATTGAAATTAGCCTTGATATAAAAATCCAATTTTGATTCAAGATATCCATGTCTGAGGTAGGCATCACGGGAAGAGTAAACCTTTAGTATCAAAAAATCAAGTTCTTCATTTGTATCCTGGAGTGCGAGTGGAATAACATCAGAACTACAGTAGCTCTAGAACATAACCTTATTAGGCCAGGTTAACAGAACTGCAGCAGCTGTAGGACATAATATTGTCAGACCTGGTTAACATCAGAACTGCAGCAGTTGTAGGACGTAAGACTGTTAGACCTGGTTAACATCAGAACTGCAGCAGTTGTAGGACGTAAGACTGTTAGACCTGGTTAACATCAGAACTGCAGCAGCTGTAGGACATAAGATTGTTAGACCTGGTTAACATCAGAACTGCAGCAGTTGTAGGACATAAGACTGTTAGACCTGGTTAACATCAGAACTGCAGCAGCTGTAGGACATAGGCTTGTTAGATCTGGTTAACATTAAAATTGTAGTAGCTGGAGAAAATATGCTTATTAAGCCGAGTTAACATCAGAAATGCAGAAGGTGAATGAGATAGACTTATTAGATCGATTTAATATCAGAACAGCAGCAACAGGAGAACATAAGCTTATCAGACTGGGCTAACACCAGAACAGCAGCGACTGGAGAACATAAACTTATCAGACTGGGCTAACACCAGAACAGCAGCAGGAGAACATAAGCTTATCAGACTGAGCTGACATCAGAACAGCAGCAACTGGAGTACATAAACTTATCAGATTGGGCTAACATCAGAACAGCAGCAACTGGAGTACATAAACTTATCAGATTGGGCTAACATCAGAACAGCAGCAGCAGGAGAACATAAGCTTATCAGACTGGGCTAACATCAGAACAGCAGCAGGAGAACATAAGCTTATCAGACTGAGCTAACATCAGAACAGCAGCAGCAGGAGTACATAAACTTATCAGATTGGGCTAACATCAGAACAGCAGCAGCAGGAGAACATAAGCTTATCAGACTGGGCTAACATCAGAACAGCAGCAACTGGAGAACAAAAACTTATGAAAACTATTTGATATCAGAACTGCAACAGCTGGAGAATGTAAGCTTCTTAAACCGAGTTAACGTCGGATCTATAGCAGTTGCAGGACAAGCTTATTAGACCGAGAAGCTGTGCAAGTCTTAGCTGCGTCAAAAGTCGAATTTGTTGGTACATATGTTGTTTCATTATATTTATTAGGTATGCTATTGTACTTAAAAATGTATTACAGTTTCAATGTTATGTGTGAAAAAAGCATGTTTTATTATTATTATTATGGAACACTAGTGGAAAACGTGTGCTTTGCTTTCGAAATATTTGTTGTTGTTGTGATATTTTGTATTTGGATACACAAAGTTTATAAAATTTAAAGTCAGTGCTATGTTTTAAAGTAATTAAAACAGTTAAATGACCTGCCTGGACTGCTCTCTCATGAGGTTAGGAACAAATCTCATGGCCGTGCGGAGCGTCTCAGTGACTGAGAGGTTATATGTTAGTTGATATATTCGTATTCCACAACACGTGATACCCACCAAACATCTCTAGTACAAAAGATATTTTGAACCAAATGGTGTGTTAAAAAATGACAGACAGACTTATCTAGTAACAGGCATCAGATCTAGCGATGCTTTTAAAACCTGGGTATCAAGGGCAAGTATTAAAAACTTAACAGGATGGCGGTACCGATACTCTAAGTATCTATAAACATATTGTTACGACAGCGGAAATCACATGACGCTGGTAATACGTCATGAGTTTCTAGAAGGATCATAACTTTTATTGGAAACTCTAGTCTTTTCCAGGCGCTCTCTATTTTAATATATATAAGCCCAGCAAATAAAGCGGAGACAAGATCACATTGAAGAGAGATATAGAGACAGATAATTGAATCAAGTGAGCGGTAGTGACCGTAAGTAAAGTGCGTGAATAGCTGTGAATTATAGCGTGTGTTAAGTTAAAGTGACTGTGGAAATTCTGTGCATTGCAAAGTTGTATTGAGATAAAATAAACTAGTTTTATTTAAAAAAAGGACTTGTATCACTGAAGTTCCTCGGGAAGAATTTATACGGGAAATTATCAAACAAGCAGATACGCAACAATATGAAGAAATTCACACACAAAACCTTAACACATAAACACTGCTCTCTGAGATGGGGGGTCTAAGGGATAATAGATCCGTTCCCCATCTCTTTTCAGTGCATTGTTCTCTCTACACCTACCCTCTCCTTATACCTATGGCGACGTCATCCGTACTTCCCTACTCCTTAAATCAGTTTAAAAAGCTTCCTACGCACGAACACACACGTTGATCTTTTAATTACACAGATAAATAATTTTTAATTCAGTTAATAAAAATGGGGGGGGGGAATGATAAAATCAAGCTTGTTTTTCAGATTAAAAATATAATCAAACAATGAGATAAAATCGTAGATTAAAGACAAACAGTAACTAGATTAACCTACATACTACTGGCAATCCTAATAAACAAATGCTTGATTTGCTGAAACTTACTGATTGTTGGCTTAACTGTTTCAAAAATTTTAACGAACGATTTTCACGGGCGTAGAAGGGCAAATACTCACTCGTTATGTTGTGTTGGTACTAACATCAAGTGTGTTTTTTCCTGACTTGTAATGACTCTACAAAATAAACTTTCAGGCTAACTCCACAATGCAGCTTTTGAACATAAGCTTCAAGCTCACTTATGAGTGAGGCAAGAGACAATTTGAACATGAACGTTACGTTAAACATCATAATGTAGAATAAATATTACATAAGTTTCCATAAGTAACCGTGTCAATATTACAAGAAATGGCGCGTTATATCAATTAGATAATTATATCTATAGCAATGGCCGAAAGTTTTGCATCACTCTGAAATTTTAAGAATGAGACACAATTAAAAAGATTATCATATGAACATAATTTCCACCCGATATTTAACATAATACTGATTAAAGAAAGTACGAAAGGCTAATAGTACCTTCAGCATCTGAGAGATTAAAAATCTTGAAAACCATGCTACCAATATAACTACTACTACTATTATCCTTCAGCATCTGAGAGATTAAAAATCTTGAAAACCATGCTACCAATATAACTACTTCAAGTTATATTTCAGATACCTCCATGCAACCTGTAAACGTAACAGGTTTCATTCGATTTTATGAAGCAACAGACATATTATTTACCGTTCGCATTTCCTACTGTATCTACAACCAAGAGAATTAACATAGTCATCCTACTCGTGGTGGGTGGGAACATATTTAATCTAGGAGGGTTTGTATTTTTGTTTTAGAGTAAAGCCACATTGTTGTATATAACGTAACGTTCATATTCAAATTGTCTCTCGCTTCAAAGAGCTCGTACATCTTGAAAGCTTGCGTTCAATAAATCCATTGTGGAGTTAACCGCAAAGCTTATTTTATGTTTTCTCAAAATTAAAATAATGGTTCTTAAAACTTACATGGTAACGAGTTTATTGGGGTCAGTTTACGCGGCGTTGAAACATTACCGTATAAATGTTCGTTCACTGTAAAAATAACGAAAAGATATAAGCAGTATCCAAAAAACATATTAATATTTTCAAACAGGATCAGAATCATACATTACAGACCTGACTAGGGTCCTAAATGATCAAATTATCTTAGCCAGTCTTAAATGGTAGACCAGACTGATCTAACCAGGGTCATGCTTTATAGTTGAGAAAGACAGCCAAAGTCATATAAGATAAATTAGCAAGACCTAGCCAGAGTCGTGGCAGATAAAAACCACAACAACAATCTAATCAGAGCCATGCATAATTTAGTAAAACTCGGAAATTAGCCTGAGTCATGTATGACAAACTAGAAAATATGGCCGCGGTCATAAAAGATAAACGGGCCTACCAGTGCAAGTTAAAACAAACAAATATAGCAATAATTCTATATGATAAAGCAGTTAAGTATAACAAGAGTTGAACTTGGTTACTCCAATATATGTAACCAGAGCTGATGAATTAAAAACCCAATTAGAATCATGCACATTAAATCCAATAAACAGTTCAAGTGGTAGAAGCTAGTCAGATTGACGTAACCAGAGTCATACAGGTAAACTAAACAGACATATTATTTACCGTTCGTATTTCCTTCTGTATCTACAACCAAATGTGGTACAAAGTTTTCTACCAGAATTAACATAGTCATCCTACACGTGCTGAGCAGGAACGTTCTTAACATTTAATCTACAGCGATTATATGTTGTATTTTTGTTTTAGAGCAAAGCCACATTGGTCTATTTGCCGTGTCTATCGCGAGGAATGTAATCCCGGATTTTAACGTTCTAAGTCTATGGACTTACCGCTATCCCACCGGGGGACTAATCTACAGGGATTTTTAACACAATATCTTATACCTATATTTCTGAAATGTATGCTTCGGGATATTGTACTTAACCTGTCCTGTTTGTTCCGTTACTAACGAGACAGGTATCCTTATGGAAACTAAAATTTGGTATTTATACCGTATCGTCACTATCAGATCTCCCTAACAGTACGAAAAACAAAGGTGTCTTAAAATTTTCTCTTGCCCAAGAAAGTTTCTAATATAAAAACGCGGGGCTGGCGTTTTTAAGGAAAAGGGAAATGGGGACGAAGAACTTCCTCTGATGAAATCAGAATATTTTTGAGCCATGTTCAAAAACCATTTTAGAACAATTGCAGTTTTGTCGGTCTCACCAGACGACATTCTACAATTTGCAACAAGTATCTTTTTTATTGTGCTTAAAAGTTGTGTCATTTTAGATTTTGAATTTATGTTATGTGGAAAAGACTTACAGTGCTTGAAAAATGGGTTACATTTTTAAACAAACAAACATAAAGAAACAACATTCTTTGTTTTTTGAGGAAATTGGGTAGAGGACTATTTGTGACTAAGCCTATTTTCTTTAATTCTCTTCAAAGTTACAAAAGGAAACAATTAAATCGGACAGGCTGTTTATTGAAAAACTTCATTATGTCAGTCTGATTAGATATAGGCCAATATGGAAAAATACTAGTCAAAATACTATAGAAATTGTACTAAGTCAAGAAACTGTTTTCCATTTTCAGAATAAGTGATCGTTAACAAAGATGAGCTCATTATTTAATTTCTTTAGTGCATATTGGTGTATAAAAACTATTTTAGTACTAGAAATAAACAACCTTATAACATTTTGAAGGTTTTTACTGTCAGTTACGGTTTGTGTTTTAATGAAACGCTGCTGAAGAAGCTGTAAAGAGAAATGCCCAGTATCCAATTAAAGTAACAAATTTGGTGTTATAAGGTCGTATATTTCTAGAATTAAAGATGAGCTCATGTTAACGTAGTTCTAATCTTTTTTCGTGAAAAAACGTTACTGTTCCTCTGTACATTGTTGACAGAAAGTGTTTGTTTCAACTGGGCTCGTTTCTTCCCCCATTGTTTGATTTGGCAACACTAGAGTAAAAAATGTGTCATTAGGTGATTTCATTTTCCTTAGTGGAATCACAATGCATTATTTGGTGTCTTTAATCCTGTATGTGTTTTGTTTTGTTTCAAGTTTTTCACCATTATACATATTCATGTTGTTTTTAATGTATTTAAAATACTTTATTGAAGTACTAATAAAATTACTTGCCTTTCAATTCACTAGTGCTAGGCAAGTTTATGTATATTTGGTATTTTATTAACTTTGCACTTCAATAACATTAAAACGTATTCGTAAATTTGTTATATTCTTAATTCATTTGTAAAAGATCGGGTCGTCATTGAATAAAAAAAATCAAACGATATTGATGAAGAAATGGATTATACTCCGCTACACGTGTGTATTTAGTGGATTATACTCCGCTACACGTGTGTATTTAGTGAATTATACTCCGCTACACGTGTGTATTTAGGGCGCATTTGTCGTTTATATGAAAATCTAAATGAACGTCTCTGTTTTAGGTTATGGTCACTTAGCGCCATCTACTGTCTCTGGAAGAATCTTCTGTGTTTTTTACGCCATGATTGGAATTCCTATGACGGGCATCCTCCTGGCGGCAATCGGAGATCATTTCAGCAAACAATTAATCAAAAGTTTGGAGAGAGCTAAGAAATTTCACAATTCTAAGGTGGCACTGACTATCAATGCCTTCACTTTTCTACTGCCCTGGTTTATTGTGTTTATTATTTTACCAGCATGTATCTTCATGTTCATCGAGCAGTGGACGTTTCTGGAGGGGATTTATTACTGCTTTATCTCGCTAGCCACCATTGGTTTTGGAGATTATGTAGCAGGTAAGTTTATGGCATGATACATTAGAGTTTTATAAACTTATATTTAATTAACTTGTGTCTATTTAATGTGCATTAAAGACTATTCACATTTCTGACTTTACATTTTAACTGCATTTAGCGTCAATTCCTCTTATCAACGATTAGCTTTAACCCAATTCTTTCTCTAAAGCCCCCCAGTGGCACAGCGGTATGTCTGCAGACTTACAACGATAGAAACCTGATTTCGATACCCGTGGTGGGCAGAGCACAGATACCCCATTGTGTAACTTTGTGCTTAACTTCAAACAAACAAACAAAATATTTCTCTAAAACTATTTTACATTGGAAATGCATTTAGACTAGCAAGATTGCTTATCAAGACACTTTTATAATGATCTAAATTAACTGTTTATTCCCAAATGGCCTGGCATGGGCAAGTGGTTAGAGTGTTCGACTCGCAATCTGAGGGTCGCGGGTTCGAATCCCCGTCCCACCAGACATGCTTGCCCTTTCAGCCATGGGGGCGCTCTAATGTTACGGTCAATCCTACTATTCGTTGGTAAAAGAGTAGCCCAAGATTTGGCGGTGGGTGGTGATGATTAGCTGCCTTCCCTCTAGTTCTTCACAGCCAAATTAGGGACAACTAGCGTAGATAGCCCTCGTGTAGCTTTGCGCGAAATTCCAAACAAACAACATTCCCAATCTTTGTGCCAGTTTTTAAAATCAAGAATATTGCTTACTGAATACAAAATTAAACTAATCCTGCCATGGCTTATTGGTGCGCCTCTAGAAATTCTAAAGTTAATACATCATTCTGTGAAGTTAGTATTTTCTAAAGATTCGAATTCATAACTTTGTTTATCGGATAGATGCATTGACCAACTAAGCTACAAGATCTTTTAATCCGTCAGTCACAGTGTCATTGGTTACTAAGGGCGAAATTCAACAGAATTCTTGAATTATTATACACCAATCGAAATGTGATGCTCAGAATCCATCGTAGACTTAAGAATAAATTAGTACGTGCTGTTATTTAATTTTTATTAACGGGAAACTGGTTGAGATAAGATAGCAAAGAAAATATAACAATCAAAAATTTGACAGTTCGTTAAGCCATCTGTCTGAACTTTGCGTTTAAACCCTGGCCAAACTCGGTTTTATATAAATCTATCAAGGTTAGTTGGCTATATCATCTGTGCTGTTCCTGTATAGAGAGACGTGCGTTTAAACCCTGGCCAAACTCGGTTTTATATAAATCTATCAAGGTTAGTTGGCTATATCATCTGTGCTGTTCCTGTGTAGAGAGACGTGCGTTTAAGTCTCGGTCGAAAGGATTTTTTCTTTTACCCTTCTGAGTTCTGGGGGTCTACCAAGATTATTTTGTTTTATTGTATGTCCAGATACCAAAGAATTCAGCCTCAGTCCAACTCAGACTTTTCACTTCTCATAAGACACTGCATTTTAAATTTTAATGAACAAATTACACACAATAGATGTAACTTAATCAATATTCGTAAGAGTAAATGGTCAAACATATGTAATGTACTAAACTACTTGGACATTTTCAGGTATGTTGATTTCAGGTTAAATTTTAATTTCCATGAATAAAAAAAATCTTAAGCATATAAATACGATGGTCAAGATTAAATACTCAGTAAATAAAATAATTAATTTATTTCAAAGTAAATACAAAAAAAATAAAGTTCCTCAATTCAAATTATCATATGGTTCTTAATACTTGCAGCATCCTCAATTCAAATTATCATATGGTTCTTAATACTTGCAGCAGTTCTTCAACATACACGTTTTGCTTTTGTTCCACAAGAACACGCTTTTAAGCTGTTACATATTTCAACAATCTTTTTCATTTCAGGAAATTCAAGGTTCCAACATTTTTTGTTAACAACTACAATCATAATTCATTTCGTCTACCATTTAGATAACAGTTTATAATTCCCATTGGAATTTGCAGTTTGATCTTACAAGACTAGCAGATTTTGTACGTCTTACATCTAATATTGATGTCAAATTGTAGCTTCAAGGCAACATCAAAAGAACACAAACTGTCTATTATTTTAAGAGCACAGAAGCGAAGAAATATAACACTTATCTAAAATAGAAAACACATAAATCACATAAATACAAGGATTCAGAAATTAGGCAGTGAATGATTTATTACCAGAAATAAGTGATGTCCAATAAACATAGAAGTAGTATAGAAACCGGTTAAGGTTATTATTTCTTATATCTTTTGTCTGAATTCCATAAAAAGATATAAGAAATCCTAACCTTAACCGGTTTCTATACTATGCCTATATTTATTGGACATCACTTACTTCTGGTAATAAATCATTATCTGCCTAGTGTGCTGTTGTATTTCTTCGCCTCTATGTTATACCTCGTAATGAAATACATGGGTAAAATATTAAGAGCAACAGCGGCTTTATGTTTGTAGAATTAAACCTTGGAGATTTAAATGATTTGTCCACTTCCACCTACACCTTTCAAACGGTAACCATTACGATTTGGTAAGTATCGTTGTGACTTTAACTTTGATCAGTAGCCACTGCGATTTGGCATCATTAATTGAAATTTGATCTTTGACTGGTGAAAACGGTGATTAAATGTCATTGAGACTTTAACATTTGAGAGTTAATCTTAACTATTGGCCAGTGTGACTCGCTATTGTTAGAATGAGGCTTGGATCCTGAACGGTGTCTAGTGTGATTCGCTATTGTTAGGATGAGGCCTGGATTCTGAAAGGTGGCTAGTGTGATTCGCTATTGTTAGGATGAGGCTTGGATCCTGAACGGTGGCCAGTGTGGCTCGCTATTGTTAGGATGAGGTTTGGATTCTGAACGGTGGCTAATGAGATTCGCTATTGTTAGGATGAGTCCTGGATTTTGAACGGTGCCTAGTGTGATTCGCTATTGTTAGGATGAGGCTTGGATTCTGAACGGTGGCTAGTGTGATTCGCTATTGTTAGGATGAGGCCTGGGTTCTGAATGGTGGCTAGTGTGATTCGCTATTGTTAGGATAAGTCTTGGATTTTGAACGGTGGCTAGTGTGATTCGCTATTGTTAGGATGAGGCTTGGATTCTGAATGGTGGCTAGTGTGATTCGCTATTGTTAGAATGAGGCCTAGATTTTGAACGGTGGCTAGTGGGATTCGCTATTGTTAGGATGAGGCTTGGATTCTGAATGGTGGCTAGTGTGATTCGCTATTGTTAGGATGAGGCTTGGATTCTGAACGGTGGCTAGTGTGATTCGCTATTGTTAGGATGAGGCCTGGGTTCTGAATGGTGGCTAGTGTGATTCGCTATTGTTGGGATAAAGCCTGGATTCTGAGCGGTGGCTAGTGTGATAGTAGGAAGAAGGTCGATCCTAGATTGTCTTATAATAGTGAGGATACTACCAGTTAGTAGAAGGTTGATCCCAAACTATCTGATCATAATAAGGTGACTAGCAGTAGGAAGAAAATAAATCTCAAGTTATCTAATGATAGTAAGGATACTGCCAGTAAGAAGTATATCAGTCCCAAATTATCTAATAATACTAAGAATGTTGTCATTAGGAAGAAGATCGGTCCTAAATTATCTAATAAATGTATGACAACTAGTGGATATTAATAGCAAATAGTGGAGACCTGATATGAAATATATCAGAAACGCGTAGAATTTATAATAATTAAACATATACTTATGCTGCTGAGAAAATTACATATCTTATCAACTCAGGTAACTTTTATGGAGATTACATATGGATCTACAAAACTGGTGTGATCTTCTGGATCATCTTTGGTCTGGGGTATCTAGCAATGATTCTTAATTACATCTCTCGAGCCATGAGGTGTAAGCAGATTCGTCGAATGGAACGTGGTCTTTCACTCAGAATCAACTACACTCAGGAGAAGGTGGAGAAAAGATTGGATGACATCCATCATCTCCTCCAGGAGTTTATTGCCAAGGTAAGCCGGAGAAGTAATAGACACGCTAGACAGTAATAAGCAGAACACAATCATAGAGTCAATCAGGCTAGGCAATAACAAACAAAAGTAAAATCATTACCTACCAGCAGAATACATCATATTGTCAATCAGGTTAAGCAATAATACACAGAAGTACAACCGTTACTTACCATAAGGCTAGGCAGTAATACAGAAAAACATAACCGTCACTTATAGGCATACAAAACAGTAAACACAGAAAAATATTTATATTGTTACCATCAGGCTACCTACAGCACCCAAAAATACACATACGGTGTTAGCCAAAATGTTTGCTTATTTTGTAACAAATAAAATCATTATTATTATGATGGAATACAGATACATTTAGCAATGTCAAACTGAGATGTGCATGTTATATTAAACATCTACATATGTAGTTTGTATAATGAGACAGGTTCTATGGACATCATGAATAATTTATTAGAACAAACAGTTTCATCGGACATCTGTAGAACAATGTGTAATTCAACATTTCACCTATCACAATAAAACTTTACTAAAACACATATAATGACAAGATATAATATCAAATTATTATGTATAGTGTCTGTAACCATATATCAATTCATATTAAACATTCAGTACTTTGTTGGTCCTCCTCGTACTCTAATAACTTCCACAAGGCGACGTGGCATGTTGTCGATGAGGTTATTGGCATAATTCATCGTGATTTCACCCCAGTTGGTCACTAGGGGGCGCTTCAACTCAGCTACAGTAGCTGGCTTAAGGTCGTGGTTAGCAATTTTCTGGCTCAGTTCTGCCCAACAGTTCTCAATGGGATTAGAATTTGGAGACTTTGCTGGCCATGGTAATCTTGTAATGTCCTTCTGTTCGAGATAATCCTGTACAATAAACGCGCTGTGAATAGTAGAATTGTCATCCTGGAACACAAATTTATTGCCAAATTTTACCCTAGCATATGGCAGAAATATCGTCTCCATGTGATACCTGTAGGAAGCGACATTGACGTTTCCATGGAAGATATCAAAAGCAGTTTTCCACAATGATGAATAGCTGCCCAAACATGTACTGCACCACATCCTGTGTGTTACATGTGGAAAAGACAATCTTCCCTTGTTCTCCAGGCAAATGACGAACACGAAATCTACCATCAGCTTTAACAAACCGGAGAAAGGACTCATCTGAAAAGATGGGATGTCGCCAGTGTCCTAACTGTTAGTTGACATTCTGTCTTGCCTAAGTGTTACGGTAACGGAAGTGAATTATGGTTTGTATCGGTTTGCAGATACTCCCTTCTTGCAAAATAACCTTGTTTGGTCGGTTTCCTATTCATTGTTATTCTGGATGTCCTTCATTGAATGGACTAATACCATTCCTGTCGTAAGTTGTCGCGAAACTTCTTTCGGCCTTGACATGTTAACCTGATTAAAAACACGGTCATCTCGGGAAGTAGTTATTTGGCGTCCACCAGTAGACTTTTCTGGAACAACGTTATCTGTAGTCTGATGACGTTTCAGAATTCTGGATACAGTATAATGTGGGTACCTTACTGTTCTGACATTGTCTGTTTGCTTCATGCCTTTCTGCACAGTCGAAAGATTTGACGTCCTATAACTTCTGTCACGTGACGAGGCATGACTATACATCAAGAACAAAGCGTTGATATATTCCAAAGAAGATCATAGCAAAAGCACACACTTGTATACAAAACACGTGTGTATGTGTGTGTTTTGACGAATAAATACTCAAAACAACTTATGCATACCAGAATAACAACACGTACATGTCCATCCGATCATATGCTACCTTCTATGTTACTACTCGGGCATTTACTTAAGAACTACTCCATGCATGTAGACAATAACATCAATATAGAGCAACATTTTGGCCAAGACTATATGATGCTACAATCAGACTAAGCAGTAAAAACTATTATATTACCATCAAGTGAAACAATAATACAAATATATATATATATATTGTTATGACTCTGTTCGTTAGTTAACTTTCCGTAAAATTTCTTTCCGAAGAAACTTTAGCAATACAAGTCCTTTCTTAAATAAAACTGGTTTATTCTTTCTAAATACAACTTTGCAATACACTTAATTTCTACAGTCACGCTATAAC